ATTAAAGGAGATAAAAATACCTTGGTTCAGTGGATGCCTAAGAGAAGGCTAAGATTCAACGTACATTGGCAAATCATATCTGATAAAAGAGAAGGGTAAATGAATATGCAAAAGTAAAGATCACTTTGCAACATAAAAGGGAGAATAATGCTTTGCTAATGCCACGGATCCACAGACGGAACAAAGAGATCTATTTTCATTACATGGCAACCAAAGCATGGACACATTAGCAATTCAGACACATGATTCATAGGAAACATCTGTCAGCTCAGGAAAGACCATAGAAGAATGGTAGCAGGACAAGACCAAAACTACTAACCATGTGAGAGAAACACCAAGTTAGGACATTGCGGCTGAATTCAGCAAGACAATTGTCACTTTTAAGAACATTGTGCTTCCTCTGGGATATTAAGCCACTATCTATTTTTTCCTGTAGCTTTACATTCAGGACAACTTCTAATAAAAAATGCATTGAAGCTAGAATTGCAGACACTAAAATTAACATATCCTAGATAGTATTAGTATGCTAAGCACATGGTCCTTTTTTATAGCGGGAAAAGGATTTTTTTAGGCTGATAGTCGTACTTCTATTTCTGGTTAACAATGATCAAATAATGAGCCTAATTTCATTTGAAGCACTGTGGTTTGAATAGCTAATGAGCAGACCCTAGCAAATTTACAACATTACTTTTTAAAATCTCACAAAGTAGTCAAACAACATCCTATTCTGGTAACATAAGGTAACTTAGATCAATATAAGGAATCAAAACAGAACCCTTTTTTTTCTAACCAGGAAAACAGCAGGGGAAGCCCCCACTGTTAGATGACATGAGACTGAATTTTTTGTACTTAGTATGAACACCATGCATTGAAAAGAACCATTCCTTACTACAAATGAGGCATTAAGCAAGTTGCCAACCTGTAAATCAATCACCTTGTGCTTGCCGTCCCTAGCACAGTTTTCTCCGCGGACACCTTTTAGTATGCACTGTTTTCATCTGACATCATATTTTAAAGGGAGGAGGGTCAGTCGAAAATGATAAAAAAAAAAGAAAAAGTAGCAGACTATCAGAAAAATTGGTTTCAAAAGGCTCTGAACCAATTAATCGCAGGAACTATCCTATCATAATGTGTTACAATGGGGCAACATGAAAAAACAAAATGGATTATCTTGCAAGCAAAATTAAACAAATTTCACAGTACTGTGTATGGTATAAAAGTCCCCAAATAAGTGCAATAGCTATTTAACATTCAGCAATAAATGGGCATATTTACAAAGGCTCAACACATATATGTATACCTGCAGCAACAGTGCTTTGCAAAGGAAGTAGATTCAGCATAACCTGTGCACACATAAAAAACAATTACATAAATTAGGCGGAACACATAAAATTAGTCAGAACAAATGAAATCATGTATTAACTGGTGCTAGAACAGACGGAGCGAGGTCGATGCTCTACGCTATTCATTTTAGGTTTTATTCGGTTGCACATCGCATAGTGCAATAAAAAAATTGTACATGAACTGCCTCAATGTGAAATCAAAGTTTCAAAATTCATAAACTGGGGAACACACCTACAATCAAAAGTTGGCAGATATTTAGATATATAGGGAACAAAAACTGAATTTGAAATAAAAACAGAAGAATTGAATAGTCGATTTTATACACCATAGTCAGGTAAAAATTGCACCTACACAAGATCCACTACAGACCATTAGCAGACTGACTAACTGTACAGAAATTGTTGTGAGACCAATAATTCAATGACCACATTACTTGTCAACAGTCCAATGCTGAGGATCCGAGCGGTCGCGTCGCCGGGAGCAGCTCGCGGTCGTCAAGCACAGGGAGTTAGGGTTTCGTGGAGCACACGCGGACCAGCGGGAGAAGTCAGCGCCGTGGGGCAGCCACGCCGGCAGCCACCGGCGGTGCCTGCTAGCGTCGTGCCATGGTGGGGACGGCTGCCGCCGGGGTCCACGCGCGCCGCCGTGCACCAAACCGGCGGCGCCGTCGCCCAGGCAGCGCGCCGCGCGGTGAGGCGGCGGCGCTGGGGCCCGGCAGGCACGCCGCGATGCCGGGGGAGAGGGAGAGGGAGAGGAGAGAGGAAGGGAAGACGGCGTCGGGAGCGGCCAAGGCACCGTGGTGCGGGAAGACGTTGGGGTTGGGAAGAGAAACATCGGGAAGAGTATGGGCCGAGGACGGAAGAAGCTGGAATCCTGACTATATATTTGGGAGCTATGATTCTGTAGAGAAGCTAGGAGGGAACGGTCGTAACACAAGAAATCGGTGGAGAAGCTGGAGAAAGCCCACAGTGTAATCCGAAGCCGATTCTAGAAAATTCTTGCTGGGGACCTGGGCCGTCGGATTGGGAGATCTAACGGTCAAAAAAATTTCTGCCGACGTGGACACGGCTTCCATCTCAGGAGCTAATGGGTTTTGTGAGGTTAAAATGCGTTCACCGCTCAGTGACTGAAGAGACGACTATAGTATCTAAAACAAAATCGTGCTAATGTGGTGGGTTTAAAGGCCCATTACATTTTTAGCCCGGGCGTGTGTCTGCGTGGAGACTACGTAGGGCAGAAACGCAGAAGCCCATAGGAAAAGGAGGCCGAACTGTGAACGTGACAGCGACGCATACAAGCCGAGCTATTTTGGCCCGAATTTTCTAACGGAAAAATATCTCATCACACGACCGCAACGCTGCATGAGGCAGTTTTCAATGCACCGTGCAACCACCGGAGCCACTCGCCAGCCAACCAACCAAGACCCTATCCAAAAGCAGAGGCCAGCCAGACCAAGACGAGACGCAAGCTGCAGGCACCCGCTCGCGCCCGCGCCATGAAGTGCTGGTGCGTGCACGCGCCAAGCGGAGCAATGGCGACGCCGCTCTCCAGCCCGTTCGCTCCCACCACCCTCCGCTCCCCTCTCCGGCACCGCGCCCTGCTGCTACTACCGTTCCCTCCCCGTGCGGCCTCCTCCGGCGAGGACACCGCAGCAGCCGACCAGGAGCAGACACCCCCGGCTGCTACCAAGACGGCCACCGCGGACGACGACTTCGAGCAGCGCGTCCTACAGATCAAGTCCCGCGTCGGGCCCAAGAAGCGCGGCGCGCGCAAGAAGAAGGCCGCGGCGTCGTCCGCGTCCGCCAACGCCGTGACGCTCCCGCCCGTGCCGCTGCGGGAGCCCCGGTCGGCGCTCGGCGCGCCCATCGAGTTCGGCTTCACCGCGTACAGCGAGCGGCTCAACGGCTCGCTGGCCGCGGTGGGCCTCGCAGCGGTGCTGCTCGTGGAGTTGGGCTCCGGGCAGGCCCTGGTGAAGTACCACCAGCCGGCCACGCTGTTCCTGCAGGCGTACACCATCGCCGCGGCCGCCGCGCTGTTCGTCAAGTACGAGAAGGAGCGGATCAGCACGTGGCCGGGGCCGCCGGCGAAGTGAAATGGAGAGTTTTTTTTTTTGATCCGGTAGGGTGCGTCTTTTCTAGTAATTTTACCTCTCGATGTGCCTTGCAGGAATATGTGTGTTGTGAGAACTGGGAAATGTCGGGCATTCGAGCAAAGAACTTGATCTTTAACAGTCGTTTTAACACCTTTAATTTAATTTCATTTCATCGGTCACGTTATGCAAAATGCTTTGTGATGCTGTTGTTGAGAGAACTGAGAAATTAATCTCGAAAGGCGTGAGTTTACTACTATGGCTTTGTGATGCTGTAGTTGTTGAGAGCTGTCCGCAGCATGTCTGTTGGTATGAATTGCTGCATTGCTGAATGGCTCCTTCACAAAGAATAGTCTGACGCGTCACAATCGGACCACAGACTACTAGACCTGCAGTCGCCGCCGCTCTCGACGCCATTTCACGCACCAAATCGGCCATGACTTGCCAGCTCGAGAAAGCAAGCCAACGCGTGTGGATTTGCTAGGCGCAGGCGACGACTTGCCCGTCTAAGCGCAACGCCGGTCAAGCGCCGATTTGCCAAGCGCCAAACACAAACCAATGGATTCTCATCGCGCTCGCGCATTCACATTCGGGTCGCGTCAATCTCAAACCCCCATGATCGACAGTGGCACAACACAACGCCTGGACGGCTGGACCACAAAAAGAGAATTATGAAGATGCCAAATCACTCGAGCTGTCAAGCACGACTAGACCAACCAAAGCTCGTCAACGAGCCAAGCACCAACACACACCGATTCCCTGGAGCACGCAGCAGCAGCTTCGCAGCTCCTTCCCGTTCCACGCCCGGCACAGTTGTAGCATCCATAGATCATGTGAAATTTCACCGAAGTGGCGTTGTCGCCTTCACGCCCGGCTCACCTTTTCCGCACCACGACTAGGCCCCCAAAGGGACGGTGTGCCAAAACAAGACTCAACAGTCAACACACATCTTTATTCGGTGCATATTAGCCCGCTAGGTGTATACCCATGGAGTGTCGGGCGAGCCAATCCAACCAGACAGCAACGACGTGGACCAGACCACAAGGATACGGTCCCATAGCAGCTGTACTCCCATCTACTCAAAACCAAATTATAGAGACAAGTCGGTCTTTAATACAAGGTCCCACCAGCAGTCCAGCACCCATGCATGCATGTAAAAGTATTGTGTAGCTTTTTGTCCAAACAGGTTCGCCTCCTTGCTCAGTTGCAGCCAGGCAAAAATAGCACATGCCGGAGGAGTCTTATTTCACTGAGCTTGGCCTCAAATTTCAGTGTCTCCACCTTCATCATCCACATGTACTAGCAGCTCAGCTTGTAAAAGGAGCAGGATCCAGGGCTACTTTAGAGAGGACTATGCTTTAGACGCTGCAGGTGTCTGGGAGCATCACGCTGCAGCACCATGTTCTCCTGAGAAAATAATGCAACAAACAAACCAATATATGGAATGGAAGACGCTGGCAAAAAGGTGCTGGGTTTGGCTGAGACTGAGAGATGTGTGGCAGATGCCCTCAGTCAGTCCAACCAAAGGCCAACGTCGTCTTCATTAGCCGGTCATGCTGTGAGTAGGTCAGTACCTCCTCCTTTTTGGTCTGTCATTCGAGTCACTGTCTCGCCACCCTTGATGACCACCACGGTGCCTGTACCCATCCTCTTGTTCTCCTCTTGCCCTGCTGTGCCCCATCCTGTTCCTGAAGCGGCCATCGTGCTCCCGTGGACCAACACCTCCTTCAGCAAATTCCATGTCATCCTCTGTCTGGTAGGAGAGCATCTCGTCTTCATCACTGACCGGAGAATGAAGATATGCTCTCCGCTCCCTATGCTTCCTTCTACCCACAAGTTCCTCTTCTGTATGGAGTCCAGCTAGGTGAGCAGCATGTAGCGGTGGCTCAAAGGCATCACCTTCCATGGCGCACCTCCTCACATTTCTCTGCATGACTTCTCTCTCATCATGGCTTCCGTTGTGACGGCGATGAGGCAAGTATGGTCTGTCAGTTCGCATTAGTGGCGGTGATCTGTGCATCGCTTCAGGTGATCGTCCCCGATGGAAATGCACATGGCCACCCCTTCTGTGTGCAGGCGAATGGCTCCTGTCTCTGTGGATGAATCCATGATCACCTTGACCACGGTGTCTATGGGAATGTGGCATAAAAAACCTATCATCCATCATGTCATCTGGGAGATCTTCTATTTGCCCACGGGCCAGCAGCCTAGAGTCTGGAATCTCTCTTCCATAGAAATCGTCAATGTCCATCTCTCTCATGATGCAGCCATGTGGTGGTGAATGACGCCTCCTATGTGGACCTCGGATGTGCCCAGGTTCATCTTCAAATGAACGCCTCCTGCCACCAATAGATTCATCAACAAACTCATTGCTCATTCTTGGACCTCGGAAGTTCCTCAGATGGCCACGGGATCCAGCACCCCGCCAACCACCACGGTGGTTTGTCATTCGTTTGTTCATAACATCAGATGCATGTCTGCCACCATGGCATTCTCCATTGTTCTTTTCTCGCTCGGACTCCATGAATCTCTCCCATCTTTCGTTCCTGTAAAAATGGCACATGGACAAAAGGAGGGAAAGCTTTTATAATTCAAGCCAAACATAAAACCATGCACACCTAGGCACCATACGCAAGAGGACCTTGAGTCATGATTACTGTAGTATCCCACAATGGAAACAGATGACATGAAACATACCTATTCACATAAACATGCCCCAGTGTCCAATTTGCCCCAACAAGTTGTCCATCTTTTTCATTCTGTAGAGATGTGTTACAAGAGTCAGGTTTGGATTTGTCATGTTCTGACTTTTCAGACGCTGACTTCTTGCCATATTCACTATGCTGTTGACTGCTTGAAGCGCCATCAAGTTCTGAGTCTTCACCCAGGACAGAGTCTCTTGGGCGCAAATCAGAGTGTTTACCGACCTCTTCACTTTTAGTCTGATGCTCTGTCTTCAAAGCAGCAATTTTTGCATGGTTCTCACTACAACTTCCAGCTTGCATACCATTTGGAGACTTTATATCTGGGCTTCTAGTCTTCTCAAGACAGCTATCTAAAGTCTTAGGAGAATGCTTGGTAGGTTGCAGTTTAGGGGAATCAGATTTTGGCAAAGCTGATGACTTTTGGAGATGTGTGGTACTGGAACCTGTGGCAGTCTTAGCATCATGTATGCTATTGTCAGTATAATTTACTGGGATATTCTTATCAGAATTCAAAGATTGCTTGCCTTTAGAGTTTTCACTAACAATAACCTCATTTCGGAGCCCCTGCTGACCTGCATGGCTGACAACACCAACTTTTGTTTTAATACACTTGCCACCTTCAATAGGATCAATATTAACCTTATTTGTCATAGATGAACAATCTTGATGCATATCACTATCGTGTTCTTTCTTTAGCTCTTTGCTTAAGTTATCAGTATTGATACCATCCTTGCTGATTGGGGGGCCATTCCCCAATGGCTCACCATGAGGCTTATTTGTAGTTGGAATTCGTGAAACAGTATTACCATCATCATCTGAACAGTCCATTTCAGCACTCCTTGTGACATACCATCAACAATAGCATTCTCCAGAGAATTAAAAGGCAAAGGTTCAACTGGAGGACTGGAGGAACTTGGTGATGCACCACTAGATTCATTAGCATCACAAGACCTCTGTCTCGTATCCTCATGAGCAGTGGGCTGGCTGGATGATTCACATAACCCAACAGAAGGGCTGGCAACATTACTTTGCGAAGGCAGTGATTTTGCTTCCATCAACAGTGTAGTATGACCACTTCCTGTTTCTACAACAGGGAGACTAGGGGTAGCACTTGTGGATTCTTCAGGATTCACACATTTGTCAACTTCAGGAACAGCAGGCATGGTCTTGGCGTGGGAAGTATCAGGTAAACTTTCAGCTGGTACTGGGACACTAACTGCTGCTACATCAGGCCCATTATGGATAATATTATTTGTAGAGATGTCAGAATTCAAATCAAACCCAGTTTTACGGGGACCTTGGGGTGCACTATCAGTCTTTTCAGATTCAGCACAACTGATAACTAGTCCAACACTTTGTCGTTCTGATAGATTTGCCCTTTCAGCACCGTCAAGAATATGCTGCTGGGATATTTCTTCATGTTCTTTCTTCACCAAATTATTAGATGGCAGCTGATCAATTCCAGAAACAGTTGCTGATGTAGTATTCTGAGGATTTACATTCCAGGGCATGGGTGTTACAATCTTCTCAACTGGTGCATCATCTGACACAAGTGTAGCAGGAGCCTCCTCATTGACCTTTTTGGAACTTCCAGCAGTCCCAGAATCAAATAAAGCATTAGGGGTGCTAAGAGACTTGGGCTCATCCATAGGCTTACCAAATAGAGAGAGAGACTCAGTTCTGGAGCAGGAGCAAGTCCTTTCCAGTTTATCCCTAGCTCAGGTCTAGCTGGTGGTTTAAGTTGCAAATCTAAGGTAACATCAGCTGGTCCAGACTTATGAGAAAGCCCATATGAATTAGACATGTTCAGAGTACTGCCAATATTTCGACCTATTCCACTGCTTAATGTATAAATAGCTGCCGCTGGGGTCACCTGAGCTTTCTGATGTTGAATTGTTCTATGATGATACAACCCACTCCCACTTTCATCCATTTTAGGCAAACCTTCGAGTGAATCAGCTGGGTCTGGCAGTATATTCAGATCCAAGTTAGGTAGTCTCCCAACAATACTATTCCCAGAAGCATTGATTTCATTTGCAATAGGAACGTTATTGTGGTGTTCAGAAAGACTCTGGTCCAGTTTCTCTTCCTTCACAAGTGAGCCATAGTAATTATTTTTGCCACTTTGACGAGATGGTAACTGTAAATCCAGAGCCAAAAAATTTGGACGTTGCAATTCAGCAACTGGTGCAGAAGTCCTTGTAGCACTATCTGCAATAGAAGGGATCTCAATTGATCCAGTAAATAGCACTCCGTTGCCATTGGCCATGGATAGCGCAGTACGCGACGTGTTGGCATGGTCTTGGATGTGGGTGTCAGGGATTCCCTTACCTTTGGTGATGACATTTGTGTCTGAGTTACCAATGTTGAAGAATGGTTCCTCGCGGCGGCCTGTCCCTGTAGCAGTAACAGGCATCGTCTTCGTTGGAGATGGGGCTTTATCGAGAGTGGTATGGCAGATGCAACCGATCTGTCAGACAAGAGAACTGGCCTCTTCTTAATAGGCACACCAACCCCAGGCTCATCCAACCGCGGTACAAGTCGGTGACTGCAAACCTGCTCATAAAACACCCAGAATTTTTAGGCAAACGTGAAAGAGACGTTCAAACAACCAGAATTGACCTCCGAGGAGGAAGTTTCTGAGTACCTCTTCCTTCTTGGCTAGCGACATCTTGCCGTGTCACGGATAATCAGCTGATAATCTGTGTCCTCTGGTACAAATCGTTGTCAGTTTCCCCAGATTAAGCAGAACTGAAGGCACAGTACATCGCATACCAACCGACAATAAACAAGCAGATGATAGGGTAGATCAAAGATACTACTAGAAGAACAGTGAGGTAAAAAAATAATATTCTTAATATAGAAGAAGAAATTATTTATTGCCATGTTAAATTAAAGGCAGTACGAGTTTTCTATAGAAAATAATCAATGATAGGGTAGATCAAAGATACTACTAGAAGAACAGTGAGGTGAAAAAATAATATTCTCAATATAGAAGAAGAAATTATTTATTGCCATGTTAAATTAAAGGCAGTACGAGTTTTCTATAGAAAATAATCAAACTATCAAAGAAGTAGACTGGCAGAAGGTAGATAGAAACAAATCTACTGCGTTAATGATGAATGGATTGTACACAAACAGAAAGATTCAATTAGTGAAAACACTACAGTAGCAAATATAGAGCATCATTGGGTCATCAAACAAATTCAATTCTTCCCAGATGCCGCAGCTCGACTCATTCACTGATGACGAGGTGAGATAAGCGACATCATAATCAGAACTAATCTACAGCTACCACTCCCACTAAATTGCTAGTAACCCCATGCAAATCAAAGCGCAGCAGTGGCTGAAGAACAAGTCCCTCACACAGCTGCCGTGCAGTGCAAAGTGAGCAGCCAAAAAACTTTCCTCAAACGCAGAAGCGGAATCCACGGCCCCAGAGGCAAGAGCAACAAGATCACACGCTTGCGTGGAATAGAAGCATCCCAATATACCTCGAGAGGAAATCAGCAATCTGAACAAGACGACCAGGATATCTACCTGCGGCTCAGTCAGGCAGGAAGATCGCCAAATATCAGCGAGATGGATCGAGAAAACTTTGAAAAAAAAAAGACAAGTCAAATCTCGTATCCCTCTCCTACCGCTCCACTCCCCGGGACCGCACAAACAACATCGTCTCACACAGACGGGCGAAAAAGAAAAGAGAAATGAATGGCGAAAATACAATGAACTAGTACCTGAGGAGCGCTCCAGTCTGGGCCAGAGCTCGCTCACGCTGAGTGCGGCCGACAGGAGCAGACGCGCGCGCCTACGCAGGCGCGGGCGCCGCAGCGATTAAAAAGGAGTGCTCCTTGGCAGCTCACTGGCTTGCGACGGCGACGGGCCAACCGCTCCCTAATCCGCCTGCTCCTCCTCCTCCTGCCGCTTGCGTCGTCGCCTGATCTGACCTCCCTTCTCTCTCCGGTCTCATCTGCGCCAATCTGATTCCTTCCCTCCCTCTCCTCCCAACCCAAGAACCAAAAACTGCAGCGCCCGAATATTTTTTCCGCCCCGTTTTTTTTCCTTTATAGCCGTCTCGAGATGCGGTGCGTGCGTGCCTTCCCGGAAGTTGCTCGAGGCCATGTTTAGATTGCAAAAAATTGCAACCTGATGAATAGTAGCGTTTTCGTCTTATTTGGTAAATATTGTCCAATTGTGGACCAACTAAGCTCAAAAGATTCATCTCGTGATTTCCAACTAAACTGTGCAATTAGTTATTTTTTTTACCTACATTTAATGCTCCATGCAAGCGGCTAAAAATTGATGTGATGGAGAGAGAGTGAAAAAACTTGGAATTTTGATGTAAACTAAACAAGGCCCGAGTCGAGTCCCACCCCCACCACGCCACTGTGGGGCCCAGCCAGATCGGGCGGTCCGGTGCGCGGCACGTGGTGCGGCCGGTTTAATTGGCCGTCCGCGTTCGCTTTGGGCCTTGTTTAGAGCACGTTCGTAGGACTAAAAAATAAACTAAAATGTTGTTTTGATTGATTGTTGTGAGATAAAAATATCGTTCTATCTGAAAAATATTGTTCATGTGAACAGTGGTTTCGTGAGTGTGCTAGCTGGCCAGCCACCCAGAACACCCCCTTAGTTGCTCCCGGGAATTTTTACATCATGTTGAATGTTTCGCATGCACGAAATATTAAATATAGACTAAAATAACTATTTGCATAGATTATGACTACCTTACGAGACGAATCTTTTAAGCCTAAATAGTTCACGATTCGATAATGCGGTGCTACAGTATATATGCGTTGCGCGCCCGCGCCGCTTTCGGATTGGGGACGCGGGACGGACGCCACGCCAACGCGCGCGAGCCGCCCCGCCCCGCCCGGCCCGGCAGGCTCTCTCGTTTTCGTTGGAGGGCATGCGGCGCGCGCGGGCAACGTTGGTTTGGTGCCTTGCTTCATCGATGGGACGAGACGCTCCATGGTCATGGAGCTCATGGCTGGCAGGCTGGGCCGCTGGGGTGGGTCTGCTTGGCAGACGGCAGGAGCAGGGCGGACTTGGCAGTGCGTAATGGTAGTTCGTGCCGGTCCTACACATCCCTTGACTGCCTGACACGCCCGTCCACTTGGGTCGAGACCGGGCAACCAGTACCTGCCTCGGGAAGGACTTGAAGGAGAGCCGGCTGGCTGGATTCCTTGTACAGGGCCTGCTGCTGGGAGTGCTGCGTCGCGTCATCGATTCTGCAGGGTTCGGTCACGGTCATCGTACAGGTACGAAGCAAATAGGAGTACTCGTAGCGAGCAACTGAGCAGACACATCGCGTGGCTCTGTCCGGACTCCGTGGTCCGCAGGCCATTTACGACGGAATACGAACTACTGTACGTACTGCAGTCTGTAGCCGTACCGATAACAAAATGGTTCTCTACGGACAATCATCTCCAGCACACTTGACTACACCGGAGTACGGCGTAGAAGATCGCGTTGAAAAAGGTGTGTGCACCAGGGGGCACGCCACCGCTTTGACTGGCTGTGGCTTGTGGAGGACTGAACGTTTATGATAATGATATGAAATATCGTCGTGGAAAGCAGTAAACAAATGAGCAGATAATCACGTCTCTGCCAAACGGGTTGAATATGGACGATGGATGATGGTGCGCCGTTGCGGTCACGCTCCACCAAATCCTGCCGGGCGGCATCTCGAGGAGGCCGACAAGTGCCTTGAAAGCGAAGCCATTACTACTCGCTGACCACCCGGACCAGCACCAGATGGCAGGTACTGATGCCGGCCTGGCGGCCTTTATCATCATTCATCACAAGTGGACAGAATGGCATGTCCGCATGTGGAAATTCTATCGCCCGTTTGATACGAATTCTCACTGTTTCGCCGGAGAATCTTTATCAATTATCAAATAGATTGATTTTCGCAGAAACAGTAGAATATATACCAAAACTTTAGTCATTTAAAGTTTGATGAACCGGATGCTAGAAACCAGAAAAAAAATATGTTTCTTAAAAGAATCGGAATCAACTTCTCCCAAAGAAAACGCTATCGAATCCTTGCAAAACAGGGACTTTAATCCAGTTGGGACAAGCTAAGAGCCGGACTGTCAAAAGTAATTCAGTAAATCGTGGACTGCCAAAAACTAGAAAGAGGCGGATTGTGGAGTTCTGCGTGACATGACCGAATCGTGTGTATTATAGATAGATTATTGTGACTCCCACGCCCGTTCAGCTGGTACACAAAACTACTATGTACGAGTTGGTTCCGGTTAATTTTGGCTGATTCAATAGTGTTCTGTGAGAGAGAATAAATTGAAACAAGCTGAAACTTTAGTGGTCTGTGTACTTCAATTCAAGGCTAGATGAAAAGTTGTCTTATGCCAATCGACTTTGATTTTTTGTTTTTATGATATGATGTAGCGTTCTGTGATACTCGACGTGCACTTTCTTTGCATCTTTGGAACTGCCTAGTTTGTTTTACAAGATAAACCTTTTAGAAGTGAAGAGTTGTTTGAAAAATAAACCTTTCGTAACGGGTAGAGAAGGTCAGCAGCTAGTTAGAGCTGGATGGCTCACCTACTACTCCTAAAGAAAACATTAACACGTTGATCTTCATCAGCATTTCAGCTAGCAAGACACTGCACGCTAGCTAGTCCAATAGGGTTTGCGACCCTCATCAGCATCTCGTGCCACGTCTGCTTTGCTCGTCGTCATTCTTAGCGTGTGCGAATACAAGCTGGTGGTCATACTGTAAGTATGTGCTTTGCATTGCTTGCACGAAAAGCGAGTTGCCGGCGGGCGGCAAACTAAACTTGGTATCAAATCAAAGTTAGCAACCTGTTGTCACGACCTCTGTATGACTAAACAAATATGAAGCTGAATATAGTGGGACAGGGAGATTTTGTTGTGATACAATGGAAGACACGATATAGACAATAACACAATCAGTTGCAAAACTGAACATGTTAATTAGGCCGATAGATCGGACCATGTATTGACCTTCTCGACCCATCATACTCCATCCATGCCAAATAACTGCACATCTTACTTTTCAAACAGTTCAAACCTATATTATCCGCAGCTATATTTCTTAATGTATTTGTTATGAAAATATGTTTCACTATAACACTCAGTTAGACCTAGCTTGCAATTAGCAATCATGATGTCGTCAGGATGAGTTCACAGCACTACAGATGTAGTATTATCTCAATCATGTGTGATAAACTTAGCCTTGGGTTGAGTATTGGAACGGGTGATTTTTTTTTTCAATACCAGCATCAACTCTACCAATTGCCATCATGCATGTTAAACCCTGGAGACCCAAGCCTGTTCCCAGACCCAACCCTCTTTTCTTTTTTCAAAACAAGGTCATAACCCTTACTAAAATATTAAACTTCAAAGAGACAATTTTCTATACGCCATGAAAAA